TCACTGTTCTCCCACTGGCTTGGCTGAGCGTGGTGTTGACATTTGAAACTTCCCAACATAAATAAGTTTTATTAAGAAATACTGTAAATCGGCTGGCAGCAGCTCAGGGCGTGACGTGGAGGGGACCCCACGGAGAAGGGGCGGGAGACGGGCGCTGCTCAGCGCATCCCCCCGACTGAGAGCAACAGGAAGCCTTCGCTGGGAGAGGTTAATGCCGGAGGAAGATCTAATGAGCGCTTGATTTTTTTGTTTGTTTGGGTTTTGGACTTTTTTTTGCATGTGTTACGAAACACCTACAATTTGTCCTTGTCAAGCTGTGGATGAGGGGAAGAGGGGTCAGCTGGAGTCAGACAGCAGATGGAAACATTTTTCAGGAATACAATAGCATAAGCGAAGGAATCGTTGAGTAATGTGGGAAGAATAAGCCCTCAGCATAAAAATCAGCTTGCTTATACACGCAGTGTATTGCTGAAGGTTCTCCAGGCTGGATTCTTCCCCTGGTTTCAGCGTGTTGATACTGTAAATGTGAGAGCAGATGCAGACTCCGCACATCTACAGTGCGCAACCAGTTAATAAACCAGTTCCCATCTCTTCATAATACAGACAAATCAGACACAAATTGAAAAACAGCTTAAAAGAAGTGGCAGCATGGGTTTCTTTTGTGTTTTCACAGGAAGAAAAAAAATGTTGCGAGCAGGCTCTGTAACTTGGCTATATTCCTGAAATGCCTTGTCACTGGGTTTGAAAATAAACTGCTGCGGGATCTGGTGCCGCAGCCTGGTGCCCATTTCCCATTTCCCCTGCAGCATTAGCCGCACTACATATTGCAGCAGCAGATTGCAATTACCCCGGGCTCCCTTGTTTACTGCCCGATGCAGCTGGACAAGCCGTGCCTGTCTCCTCCGAAGGTCCTCGCTCCCCTCCCCACCTGTCCGAGCCCCCGGGAGCCGTCCCGCACTCCCGTGTCGGGGCGGTGGGACACGGCGAGCTTACTCCCCTCCGTGTCCCAGAGCCCGAGGCCGCTTCCCTTCGGGATGCAGCGCGAGGCCAGTCGGCCAAGTTCATTCCCAGGGTAATGGTATCAGCGGGGCAGGACTGCCTTGAGGTTAAAATCATTCATGCTTGTATTTGCAAGGCGTGCCGGCGGGGTTATGCCTTCACTGGTAAAACCCGATTGTGTGGCTGGGAGGTTAAGGCTGCTTTGTCCAAGCTGACATTAATCAAGAGAACTCAGTATTTTCTGTTAATTACTTCACATGCACTCAATATAGGCCAGGCAGGCTGGGGTAGCCAATGCAAAATAAATCAAAGCTACATGAAAAATCCAAGAGCAACATTTCAACTGACAAAGTTCAGCTTGTAAGAGAGCTTTGTTCTTCGGTTTAAATCAAGCTGGCTGCTCAAGAGACCCGAGTAAATGCAGGCAGAAGCCCTTCCCTTGTTACCAGTTTCCACACGCAGAGCCCAAGCGTTTTATCTAACACCGCCGTGTTACACTCATCTGCAGAGCATCGCCGGGCAGCGAGCCGCCTCGCCCGACCTTGTGCACGCCTTTCGGCCTGCCCTTGCTGCAGATTAGAACACACCCGCATAGACCACTTCCGCTGGCATCGTAGTGACGAGCCGTCAGCTCACGCTAGGCAGAAGGGCAGAGGGACGGAGCCGTGGCTCCGCCGGCGGGTGGTACCTGCCCGCAGCGCCTTGATGTGCTTGAGCCAGCGCCTCTGCCGTTAGCTGTTTGGTGCCTCCGTGCCATCCCGCTGCACTCCCGTCTGTGTCAAGCCCAGACCAAAGACGTAGCTGTTTCCTGAACCCAGCTGTGTCTGGAGCCTGGGTCTGACGGATAGCGCTTTGGTCCGACAAACGGGATAAAAACTTTTCAGCCAGGAACAACAGCGTGGCTGATCTCGGTGTCTCGCCCTCGCTGTAGGACTCCCCGACCAACAAACTACTGTACGCCAAGGAGATCCCCGAGTATCGGAAGATAGTGCAGCGCTACTACAAGCAGATCCACGACATGCCGCCGCTCAGCGAGCAGGAGATGAACGCCCACCTCGCGGAGGAGTCGCGGGTAAGGCGTGCGGGGCTGCAGCGGGGATGAGGGGTCTCGGCCGGCGCACAGCCCGGTGCCGGGACAGGGTCAGGTCTGCAGGCTCGGTGCTCTGCCGAGCGCGCTCAGAGCCTGCCCTGCCCTGGCCGGCAGCAGGAGCTGGGTACCGTCGGGGGACGCGGGTCCGCTGGGAACGTCAACCACTGCTTAGATGCTGGAGGGAGCAAAGGAGATAAGATATTTTGCCTCAGACTTCCAAGGCACAAACTTCATCTGACCTAATTCCAAGCATCCTCAGTTACTGCTGGAGCTGCTGTAAACCCCCATGAGTTAGCTTGAACCTGACTAGCTTTGGCACCCCTGGGAGCTGAGAGCAAAATTCAGTGCCAAAGAGCCAGGAAATTCAGAAAAGGATCTATGCAGCCCCGCAGCCCCCGGCCAGCTGGACCCAGCGCCCGCTGCCAGGGCCGGCCCCAAGTCCCAGGCAGCAGCAATGCACCACAGCGTCCGCAAAATCAAACCATCTCCCCGCAGCGTTTTAGCTTCAGCCGCCAGCGGGTCTCTTCCGTCGGCGTTCCTCTGCCCAGCTCTCGTGCTGCCCCATCCTTTGAAAGGGCTTTGAGCACTGAGGGGCAAACAGTGCGACCAAGGGTGGGCATTTAAGGCTGGCTTTAAGAAGGCAGAGATCGTTTCTGATGTAAGCAAACCTTACTTAAAGGAGTAAGTCAAAAGTCCGACTGCATCAATGCAACAGTAACAAAAATACCCAGGCAAAACCTGCTTTTAATCCAGTTAATTTCTGGGCTTGAGCTCGCCTGCTGCATCACGTTAATATTCCTTCCTGCTTTGTTCTGTCTTTATAAAGAAATACCGGAATGAGTTCAACACCAACGTCGCCATGGCTGAGATATACAAATACGCCAAGAGATACCGCTCCCAGGTAAGCGGGCTCAGCTGCATCGGGTCTCAGCGTACCTGTGCAGGGAACAGCAAGCGGTGTGTCGTAACTGAGCGGTCAGACGCCCGCATCCAGTCCCTCAGAAAAGGGATTATCATTTTTTGCATAATCCCACGCATGTACGTAATGTATGCCCACACAGATGCACCTGCTCTCCGATCCCTCGGCTGACGGCTGCTGGGAAGAGAAGGCCAGCTATTCCCAGCTGATTTTAGCAGCTTTTTGCTGGGCTGGACTGAAGGGGGGCTGCCCGGTGTGCAGACCCACAGATGCTTTTCAGGAGGGCAGAGCAGGCTGATACAGCCCACATCCGAGATAACCTGTCCCCCGCCGCGCACCGGCCCTGGCCCCCACACCCTGCTGCGGGGCAGCTCTGCGCCGCGAGCTCTGTCACAGCGGTTTTCGGTTGCGCTCCCCTGCCCTCCCGCCCGCTGCCCGGCT